AGAATAGTTTTATTTAACAAATCTATACTACTATATTATATTATAAAGAGGAAAGTGTAGTGGCGGTTGAGAATATCCACTACACCATATCTTCCCGTGGGTGTCGTAGAAGGCGACAAAGGGAAACAGGCAGGAGATGGGCAGCAGCATCTTCCTGATAACAGCAAAATACAATTAAAAAAAACTGCGGTTGCCAACCCGCTCGCCAAGCGTGGCAACTATGGCAAATACCACCCTATGAATGAATGTAACAAAGAGACGGACCCCAGTCCACGGCAGCCCCGCTATTCCTGGCTACGGTGGCGACCATAGTAACGGCGGGGCAGGGGGTGCTAAGAATCTCCGGTGGAGGTTCGGTTGCCACATAAGACGACTCGACCTGGCAACATACAACGCAAGCACTCTGAGGACTGACGAGAAGATTGTGGAGCTGGAAGAAGAGATAGACAAGTTACGCTGGCATATTATAGGATTATCCGAAGTCCGAAGAGAGGGGGAGGACACGGTAATCCTCGAATCCGGCAACTTGCTCTATCACCGGGAGGGCGACCATCTGTCCCAAGGAGGTGTCGGATTTATCGTCCACAAGTCTCTCGTTAATAACGTTGTAAAGATTGAGAGTGTATCGACGAGGGTTGGGTACCTTATACTAAGAATCACCAAACGGTATTCGCTGAAGGTCATACAGGTTTATGCACCAACCTCGGCACACCCCGATGAGGAGGTGGAGGAAATGTATGAAAATATCTCTAGAGTCATGCATTTTTCCAAAATCCAATATACGGTGTTAATGGGAGACTTCAATGCAAAACTAGGCACAAGAGAGAACGGTGAGCAGAAAGTAGGGAAATTTGGAATAGGGCAACGGAACCCAAGAGGCCAGCAGCTGGCCGACTTCATGGAGAAAGAGGGACTCTTTATGATGAGCTCTTTCTTCCAGTAGCGGCCCCACAGGAAGTGGACCTGGTCAAGCCCCGACGGTTCGACAAAAAATGAGATTGACTTCATTGTGACGACCAGACGACAACAGTTCAGTGATGTCTCCGTGATCGCGAGGGTGAAAACTGGTAGCTATCACCGAATGGTCAGAGGCACACTGAACCTAAACGTTAAGTTGGAGAGGTCTCGTTTAATGAAGACATCGCTCCGTCCCCCTCGTGCTCTGTTCTAAAGTCCCGAAACCTTTCAGCTCGAGGTAAAAAACCGTTTTCAGTGCCTAGAAGACTGCAATGAAGTGGACGATATGAGTGACAAGCTCGTGGAAACTGTCCATGCGGTCGGAGCTAAGTTCTGCAAGAGCCGCCGCAGAAGAACCCAAAAACTCTCCGATCACACTCTTAATCTCATGGCTGTTAGACGGGAGATGGAGCTACACTCTTCAACAGATTTGACAGCATACAGGCAACTGAACAGACAGATCTCCAAATGCATGCGGCGGGACTTACGCAACTTCAATACAACTTGTATTGAAGAAGCGATCGAGCGAAACCAAGGCTCCAAAGTCTTTGTCAGAGATCTGTCTGCCAGAAAGAGCCATCTGTCAAGGCTGAAGACCGAGTGTGGCAGCATCGTTTCCGGGGCACCTGAGATTTTGAGTGAGATTGAGAGGTTCTATGGGCAGCTGTACACGTTATCGTTGGAGCCACACGCAAGTGTGAGTAACGATCCAAGAGCGAGTCTTATCCGACATCATTCCGATGATATCCCGGACGTTAGTCTGAGCGAGATTAGAATGGCTCTCCAGCACCTTAAAACCGGCAAGGCCCCAAGCGAGAATGAAAGTACAGCGGAGCTTCTGAAAGCGGGTGGAAAACCGGTACTTGAAGTCCTTCAGAGGCTTTTTAATTCCGTCCTCCATGGCGGCATTACACCGGAGGCGTGGAGCAGAAGTGCGGTGGTCTTGTTCTTCAAGAAAGGTGACAACGCTCTCTTGAAGAACTACAGGCCGATTTCCCTCCTGAGCCGCGTCTACGTGCTGTTTTCGAGAGTCATTACGAATCGTCTCGCGCGCAGACTTGACGAATGTCAGCCTCCCGAACAAGCCAGTTTCCGAAAGGGCTTTAGCACCATAGACAAGTTGTACAGAAGTCCGAGGAGTACAATTTGCCACTATGTCTAGCGTATGTGGACTATGAGAAAGCCTTTGATTCCGTCGAAATTTGGGCGGTGCTGCAGTCCCTTCAGCGGTACCAAGTTGACTGTCGGTATATCGAAGTGCTGAAGTGTTTGTACAGTAGAGCTACGATGGCTATCCGAGTACAGAACCAGAGTACGAAACCTATCCAATTGCAGCGAGGTGTAAGACAGGGTGATGTTATATCCCCGAAACTCTTCACCGCTGCATTGGAAGACGTTTTCAAGCTTCTAGACTGGAAAGGATACGGTATTAACATCAATGGCGGGTACATCACTCACCTTCGATTTGCCGACGATATAGTCCTTATGGCAGAATCGCTGGAGGAACTAAGCACCATGCTCAATGATCTCAATAGTGTCTCCCAACGGATAGGTCTTAAGATGAACATGGACAAAACAAAGATCATGTTTAAAGTCCATGTCACACCTATGCCGGTAGTTGTTGGGAGCACTAAGCTCGAAGTTGTTGACGAGTATGTTTACCTGGGACAAATAGTCCGACTAGGTAAGTCCAATTTCGACCGAGAGGTCAATGGCCTGATTCAACTCGGCTGGGCAGCGTTCGGGAAACTACGACACATCTTCTCGTTAGACTTACCTACCTCAAAACCTGAAAACAAAATTGTACAACCAGTGCGTGTTGCCAGTGATGACTTACGGATCTGAAACGTGGTCCTTCACTGCTGGCCGTATGAGGAAGCTGAAGTTCGCTCAGCGAGCTATGGAGAGGGCTATGCTCGGGGTTTCTCTCCGTGATAAAGTTAGAAATGAGTATATGCGCAGTAGAACCAGAGTAACCGACATAGCCCAAGGGATTAATAAGCTGAAGTGGCAGTGGGCCTGCCATATAGCTCAAAGAACCGACAACCGATGGGGAAGAAAGGTTCTCGAGTGGCAGCCTCGCACCGGTAGGCGAAGTGTAGGGCGACCCCCCACGAGATGGAGTGACAACCTGGTAAGACATGCAGGAAGTCGATGGATGCAGGTGGCTCAGGACCGTGCTTTGTGGCATTCCTTGGGGGAGGCCTATGTTCAGCAGTGGACTTATGAAAGGCTGTAATGATGATGATGAATGATAAAGAGGAAAGATTTTTTAGTTTGTTTGTTTGTACCGAATAAGCTCCGAAACTGCTAAACCGATTTTAACCATTTTTTCACCAATAGAAAGATAAATTATCAGGAAGTAACATAGGCCATAATTTATTTTCAAAAAATTTGAGATCCTTAAGAAAGTTGTGATAATGTAACCCAAAGTAGCACAAGTTTGCCTACAAAATTCATTATTGGGGGTGCGCTGAGAAAACTATTGATGATACTCGTACATAAAAATACTACATGATTAAAGTACGCACTATTATCTACAAAAAAATCCAGGAGGGAATATATCTATCATAACTAAGTCCACAATCAAGTAGCTTTTGTGTTCTAAAATTTAATTATATCGCCGGTTTAATTTCACCCGGTATCTGGCGCTGTTGTCGAGATCCAGAAATCAACCGTGCGAAGCCGGGACGGATCGTTAGTCTTCAATAAAAATGCAACAATAAATAAAAATGCAATATGTTTTTATATGGGAAATATCGGTTGTATGGATATCGCATGGGATCGTAAGGCGTTAGAAGTATCGCGCCTTGGTGCGTGGTATATGTGCAGGAATGGGCTTCCGGAAGATGATAATCTAATAAAGTAAACAAGTAAAGTGATAGAAGAAGCCTATATACGTCCCAGGGTAAACCACCGGCTTTATATAATTTCTAAGAGGGTTCGGGACTTATGGAGCAATTGATCAGTGGCGCTGCATTATGTGGTGGCGGACTTCACATATCCTCGAAATAATATATTAATCAGATATACAGATTTCCTCACGATGTCTTTCTTCATCGGCAAGCATGTGGTAAACTGGTATTTACAATTTCAATGGAATCGGCAGAGATCGAACCTACTGGTAGTGTTGGAACAGTTCGATCGATCGAACTTCTCAGTGTGATTAATCGGGCAACTTTATGTTATATCTAAATGTATAATTCTTAACTTAACACTAAGGTATTCTATATATTATCATTAATTTTAGATCTGAAAACTTTTTAAGTATACTTAATATATCTAATTTTTGTTGTTAAAAAATGAGTGACATGTTCACATTGTGATTAAGCTCGTTAAAAAAGAATTTAAAAAAAAATTGTACAAAAGTATAACTATCACCAGATTTTTTTTACCGTTTAAATTTCTGATTTGATTTTAAAGCACGGATAGCACTTTAAAATCGAAGCAATCAGTTTTTATCCATTGCCTCGAAACCTCTTAATAAAATCTTGCAGTAAATTTCTAAACAGTAGGAAAAATTTTTGGGTTCATTTTGCTTTTGCTCAATAAAAAAAAATCAAAGGCAAGTAAAGAAGTTACAAAAAGTGACGTTTTTTTTCAATTTATTGGATCGACTCTGATGAACGGATCTTTATAAATTAAAAAAAAAAAAAACACGTTCGTCGCAATCGTTTGAAGGAAAGGTAGCCGAGCTATATTTCATAAGTTGTCAGCATAAATTGAATCAAAAGAAGCTGCTTGTTAGTCACACTCACATAGCTTCATTATAGCTTCTTAAGATCCGGTATAACAGTAATTACAATGATATTCTGTCAAGAAGAGCAAGCGATGATGTACGAATTCACCATCACATAACTGATATCTGTTAAAATGATAATACGAATTAAGGCATGCCTCGTTTTTGACAAAATTATTGTTTAATAACTATGAAATTTAATAATGTATATTATAAGAACGTCAAGAACGAGTCCTCCGTTTCGCGTGAAACGAACAAAGATTAATCTACAACAAAATTGGATCTAAAAAAGCAATCAACTCACATCCGGGAAGCCCTCTCTGACGTGCCGCCATATTAGCGGATCTGTTTCTATGAACAGCGAGCACGTGTTCCTGTTGTCCTGTGCTGCTCGTCGCGTTCTAGAATGCTCACCAGTATTCGCCGCTCGTGAGTATTTGTTGTGATGATGCTCCCAGTACCTTCAATTAAAATAAAGATTGTAACTATCGTATTTACAAATATAAGTCTATCTTATTTTTATTAGAGAACCAAATGTCTCTAATAAAATTCTTCATCAGGTCTTACTATTTACCTAAAGTTACAAAGAGAGTTGTTGGAGTGGCTACTGGTAATATTATGTTTAAATATCGACCTTTAACGAGTAACTGCTTATAAAAAAAAACTGTCTTATAAAAGATTGCCTTGATCGGTATTGGTTTGCAGTTTCTATAGATATATAGATAAGGGGACCAATAGCATCGCTCACTAATAAAACTACTACACTAATAAAAAACTAGAACAAAAATTAATAATTTTTAATCTGGAGGTAGTCGTGGTTAACTATGTGTGACCATGGGTGCTGTACCCATGGTCACAGGGGGAAAAGAGGTGTTTGACGTCCCAATGTCATGGTAACCACGGCTACCTCCAGATTAAAAATTATAAATTTTTGTTGTTTTCTGACCATGGGTGCTGGAAAGTGCTCGAAACGTCGGAAATATAAAATAAAATCAGTAAAATTAGTTTTATTTAAACTAGATACATAATCAGTGACAAAAATGTCCTTACCGAATAAGCGCCCACTCGGACATTTGGGTGCGCTTTTAATTTGTACGTAGTTTTGTGAATACAACAATTAGGCAAGTACAATTTAGGCAATGCGTTTAAGGTTGAATTTAAATTAATGTATATTTATTTCAACTAGAATTACGCCAGTTTTAGAGAACTTTTGCATGGGATTGTGTATCTAGTTTTTTATTAGTGATCGAGAACCAAAAGCCATATTTATAATATGAGGTGAGGGATGATTCGTAGCGTTAACTAAAAACACATTTTAAACGTGGCAGAGCAACGCTGCAGGTATGTTATAGTTATAGCACGAATGGGTTGATTCGACCGGGGAGGATCACATACGAGGTTTGTTCAAAAAGTATCCCGAATTCTGAATTTCCGCGGGCTACGTATATTTGATGTTTGATTTTTTTGTAGTGTTATGTTGGTACTCAAGTCCCTTACTTATGCTGACAAGGTCGGCCATTTTGATTATTTAGTTAATTTTTGACAGCTGTTTTGCTTGGATGTGTTTTGGCACGTCTTCGATTTTTGCCTATTCCAAAAAATGGATCAAAGAATCTGTATTAAATTTTGTGTGAAAAACAAAATAAAGAGCGCGGACGCATTCCGAATGTTGACTGTGGCATATGGTGAAGCTACCTTGGACCAAAGCAACATTTATCGGTGGTACAAAATGTTCTCAGAGGGCCGAGAAGATGTGAACGACGAACAGCGTGCCGGACGCCCGAGCACGACAACAACAGACGTTATACACATTGATAAAGTGAAGAAAATATTATTGGCCAATCGTCGAATCACCGTTAGAGAAGTTACTGAGGACCTAAATATATCGATTGGCTCGTACCATTCGATTGTAAGTAAAGATTTGGGCATGAGTCGGGTTGCCGCGAAATTCGTGCCAAAATTACTCAATTTCGACCAAAAACAGAATCGCGTTAACATTGCTCAGGAGATATTGGACTCGGTCCGTGACGACCCAAATGTGCTCCAGAGGGTCATAACTGGTGACGAATCATGGGTATATAACCAAAGCTCAATCATCTCAATCGAAGCTGCCGCATGAGCCAAGACCGAAAAAAGCGCGCCAAGTTCGGTCCAACGTGAATGATTTGCTCACAGTTTTCTTCGATTGCATGGGCGCGGTGCATCATCAGTTCTTGCTACAGGGTAGTACGGTCCATAAGGAATATTACCTGCAAGTTATGCGCAATTTGCACGAAGCAAGTCACCCGAAACGCCCGGATTTGTGGAAGACAAAAACTGGCTTTTGCACCATGATAACGCCCCTGCTCACACATCGTTGCTTGTGCGCGAATATTTATCCAAAAACAACACAGTAATGGTCCCACAGCCACCGTATTCCCCAGACCTGGCCCCCTGTGACTTTTTCCTGTTCCCAAAACTGAAGAGGCCCATGAAAGGACGACGCTATGCCACGATTGAGGAAATAAAGACGGCATCGAAGGAGGAGCTGAAGAAAATCACGAAAAATGATTGTTTTAAGTGCTTCGAGGATTGGAAAAAACGTTGGCAGAGGTGCATTATATCCGAGGGGGAGTACTTTGAAGGCGACAAAATAGATATTCATGAATAAATAAATATTTTTTGAAAAAATACAAAATTCGCGATACTTTTTGAAGAGACCTCGTAGATGGCACAGAATATCAGCGTAAAATAGCAGCGTCAGTGCTGTTGTGATTCGTATAGTGAGCCCGAGTGTTATAGAGAACAGAAGACCCTTTTTAATAGTAAAGAGACGACAGGCATTCTATATTAATTGTCCTTAGGGAAGACAACGCAATACATTTTGATTCTTAATGGAGAGGATAGATTAAGGTTTCTATGGACAACAGTGGATGTGGACACCACATATCATCAGTTTGTCACCATTATTATAAAAATGTACAGTGCATTAATTAAAGTCTATTTACCTTGGTGGATCGTCTCTTAGGCTGTTCGGGTGTGGCGGTGAGTGTGAAGGTGGCGAAGGCGCAGGTGATGTGGGTGGATCATCATCGACGCCTGAATTTTGTATGCGGTCCATCCATTGGACCACTTCGTCTGTGATTCCGCAGCCACCCACGTGACCTAAAAGTAACATGATCTTTTAATTATTTATACGATCATGGGTTTGCTTAAATAATCGTGGTCGATTTTTGCCTTCATCGCATAAGAAATAGGTCACTCAAATATCATTACACAACCGTTGTCTAGCACTTAATGAAACTACAGAGTAATCTTTAGTCATGTGATGATACCACATTAATTGCTTATAAAGAAACTGATAAAACAACTATTACTGGGCACTTGAAAAAATGTTTTTATTAAGTTAGCACTTCTCCGCAAAAATTGTAAAAATTATTTGCTGATGATGTTGATTCATTATCAAGTTTGTAAGCCGTTATCGTTACAGCCTATTAAAGTCCACAGCTCAACATAGGCCGCCTCCATAGATTGCCTCATAGGGGGAATAATTGCCATAGTTGCCACTTGGCAAACGCAGTTTTTTATTTTTAGTCGTTATGAGGAAAACATTGCTACCCATCTCCTGATTTGGTTTCCTCTGTCGCTTCTTTACGAAACCCACGAGATGATACGGGGTAGTGGATATTCTTACACGGCCGCTACACCTTCAAGCTTAAAAAGCTCAAATAAATTTGGTCTCTAATAAAAGTGAAAAAGTTGCAACCTAAAATGACACGAAAACACGTCCTAAAATCGGACATCTTGACTTCCTCTGGCTTCAACTAATTTCGAGAGGTTTATGAAGCAGTTGGTCTGCAGCGCTGCTCCAGTACATATTGAAGGACTCTTCTCCTCAGACATGCAGGCTTCTCACGATATTTTGCTTCACGGCCAATGACGCGGTAAATCTTAACACTTAAATTTGGTAAAGACGCAAAGTTAACATTTTCAAAGTTAATTGTTCGTTTTAATTTTACACTAATATAGTAACCCTTTTTCTCAATAAAACTTTATATCTAATTGTTTAGTTTGGTTTCTAATGGTCTTGCAGTAGGTACTATATCGATAGTTATTGCTACGAGAAAATACTCAAATTATCTCTTCTATTATTGTCTATGTTTCACCTTTTATTTTCTAAGGATCTGTCCAGCAAACATTACGTTAAGTTTTTGAAAAGAAGGTATGAGAGAGGGGAAGAAGGTAAAGGAAATTTACAATGTCCATCCCATATGTTTTTTTAATAGAAAAGTTTAAATTAACTGTTTGGTTAATCAGATTAGCGATCTCAATTATATTTGTAAATCAATATTAATATAGGAATAGGAAAGGTAAAAAAAATTACTGATGTGGTAGCAAACAAACTTCTAAAATTAAAAATTTATCTATATGAGCCAGAACACATAATCGAAAGATCCGTCCTTAACTAAATAATTATTTCTAAAAGGGTTTTTCGGGACCTATAATAGAAATGGCGGTCCAGAAAAACATTGCCTATATAAACTTATATATTTTTCTATTAAGAAAATGTATACTAAACTACTTATATACTAATCTAATTTTATAAGTCTTCACGACACAAGTCCTTCAATTTTTTAGCTTTTACCTTCGGGACACATTTAGACTAACGAGAGCCGAATCCAACAAGAAAATCCAGCAAATATGAATCCGTAACGTTGTCAAGTGTTTGTAAATAAACCAATGCCGTTACAAAATCGATGCCGCACGTATTCCCCGACCGGATTTAGTCTGGTTGAGATATTTCGCATAATATCGCGGATGTTTTAAATTATTCATGACAAAATTCAAGTTTGCGGATAAAGTTGGTGGGTTGGGGGAAGAAAAATAATAGAAGACTGCCGCTACTCCCGCATAATGTCTACAACGGCGATGTCACCGATCTGCTAGGCGAATACTTGTATCGTATCCGAACTTATTATGTATTACATTTCTCAGCGATAAATATTAAACAACAGAATTTGATGGATTCATTCATATATTACAGCCTATTACAAGTGCACTGTTGAACCTAGCGTATAGCCTCCCGCTCGCTCCGATTTACTCAGAGGAATATTTGCCATATTTGCTTAGCAGGCGGGGTAGCAACCGGAGTTTTTTTTTAAATTATTACTTAGTTATTATCAGGAAAATCATTCTGCTCATCTCCTATTTTAGTTTTCCTCTACGCCTCTTACGACACCCACGGAATGATATGAGGTAGTGGTTTGTCTTCGCCGCAACTACACGGCTAAATATAGGATTTGACACAATTTTTTTAAGAATTAATGTTTTGTTTTGTGCAATTTGATATTTTTTATTATAATGAAGAAGTTAGATGATCTCTTTAAAATAGTATAACATTTCCGCGATAAAAATTTAAGTAAGGGTTGTCTCATCTGTAGACAAGCACGATGAGTGATAAGAGTACAACCAAGGAAAATGGGTCATAATGACATGAAACTTGTAGGAGTCATAGTGACTCAGGTCAAAGGACATGGAAATAAAGAAATGTATTGTGGTTAAGACTATTTAAAAAAGGACGACAAAAATCATAATGCTCAAAGACAGATTTTAAGTAAATGGACTAAAGTTTCTTTAAGAACAGATAATGGACAATTTTTGACGGAAAGAAAATCGATTTCATCATTATTCCTTTCTGGTTCTTGATAGTTAAAGAATAAAGACTTTATTGCAAGGGTGAGCGGATACACAAGTATTAAGTACATACATGTAAAACCGAGAGGGTGCAATTAATGCAGCTGGGAGAAGGATTAATTAATCTAAACGAACGAGTTAGGGAGAGCGTAGTATTGACGTAAGTTTAGGAAAAATTAACTTGTTAATTTTTTCAACTAAAATTTCTGCTGGTTTTTGATAATTAAAACAAGGGCGATAACAAAATGATTTTTTTAAATCTAAATAGCACACAGCAATAATACACTACACCACTAACCAGATCCGTGTAAAGAAGTGATAGTTTTAAACAAGAGTACGTATTGCTTTATGTAGACGGAAAAAATATTGTGTTATTGAAAGCTGGTAATTTAACCTTTACACTATTAAACATAAGGAAGTTTCCCATTATATCGTACCTTACAAATTATAAACTTGAGAGAGCTAACTGGAGTCAATTAGCTGTGCTTTAGCGGTTATCCGTGATAGTAGTGAATCCAGAATTACTAGGTACTAGGACGCTACGGTGACGTAAATTTATAACAAGATTGTAATTTTATAGGACTTTTTTGAAATTTTCATTAATTTCTTTCTTTCATTTATCAGTGATTTTTAAATCAGTTATAAAGATACGGGGGAAATAAACTTAATGTCATGAAATATTAAGACAAATAAATTTCTAAAGTACGTACATTAGTAATTAAAACTGTTTACAATAAGAGATTCAGTCGCACACATATAAGTAGAGACATAATACTGACAACATTTTTCCTAATTAAAATTTCTTTTACTGGAAATGTGTAATACTCGGCAAAGAAAAAAATTGAAGTATATTTATAAAAATCCGTTTCTCATTAAATATGTCAACGAAACGACTGAATAACAAGAAATAAGAATCCTTTTAAAAATTATATAACGGCATATTAGTTACGTCTGCCTCGCACCGTGACTGAAGCATGTGAAATGTGAATGCAAAGAGAATAAATTGACGATGGAGTGAGTAGGATAGAAAAAAAAAACACAACGCAAACAAAGCAAAGAGGTTTTAAAATTAAAATGCGTTGAATGGCAAAGTATTTTTTCGCTCATGTGGTGTTTAGGGGCGCATTGACGTTTTGCATCCGGCACGATGCACGGATGCATTTTAACGAAGCTCCTGCGCGCGGCCGCCAGCAAACGGAAATTACTGGCTGGAGGCACAGGCCGTTAATGATACAAATCTGATGTTTACCCGCTGCACAGCGCATATAATTACATTCAAAATATTCTCGGTCACGCATAGAACATTTATACTTCTGCGTAGCAAAAGAAGATAAAACATTCTGAGTAAAGAAAATTATTACGTATTGGAATTGGAATTAATGCAATCCTGCTCACATATCCACTTTTCTATCTTATAGAAATAATTGCTATGATTTTTAAAAGATCAGTAATCCAAAAAATTATTAATGTTGAATTCGGATTTAGAATGAACGCACTTAATATCTGTGACGTACGTTTATGTCCGAGCAATTACTATTTGCAATTTAAAGTGTTGTTTTATCAAGTGTTCGGCGGCAAAAAGTTGCGGATGATATGAGAATTCTGGAAAGTTCTGCTTTCTTTCTATCCCTTTTTCAGTAGTGATGCATTTTCGATCAATACGCTACTTTAAAAAACAGGGTTACTGACCACGATTACACGTGTTCAACATCTTTACAAGAAGTAATTTTTGTAAAGCTAAAAATATAATAAAGACCACGCAAGTCTTAACATAAACTATTGCCTTACTTTGACTTGCGTCGCATCGTCTTGGATGAAAATTACTCTTTTTATTTATTTATTCAATATACGAAATATACAAAAGGACACATAGTTAACATTTTTTTAAAACTCTCAGAACGGAACGATCGAAACAAAATCATACGAGTTATCAAGCCGCGATAAGCAAAACATTGCACACTCAATTTCTCTTAATGCGGCATGCAATCTCGTTAAACAAGTTTCTTTTTTTTTTAAATAAAAGTAACAATATGATTAATTTCAACTGAGTCGCGAGTTCGAATTTCGCACAGAAAACTTTATTAGTATTACCTAGTAGTCTAGTACTGAGTACTGACAACATTTTGTTGCCCAACGGCTTTAGATCTGGAGTGGACTGGAAGAGATCCAGTCTCAAGCTCTTATAAAGCCCGGAACATTGTTCTCGAGTCAGGTTTGATATGTTAGTGCCTTGTGACCAGAAGGATTCACTGCACGCTCCAAGACAGCAGCTTTTGATCAATTTTGGCTGAAGTTTTTACTGGTTTTTCATAGAATGACTCCTTGGTCATCAGGACATCAACGAGGTAGTCGTCATGATTAATGCAGGGTGATTAACAACCGCCATACACGTGGCTTTCTTTAAAATATAATTTAACAATCACGATGAAAAATAATATATAAAATGGCGGCAAATCGATCACTTTTATACA